TAGTAACTATATTCACATTAAACTATGTGGAGTACGCCAATTATAACCACAATAAGCAGACATTCGATTAAGACCTTACTCTGATTATTAGAAATAATCACATTATCACATTATTGGTGCACATGTATACGTCTTGACTAATCGGAGTAAGATGTTTACATGCGTCATGACACGAGCAGAACTCTTCACTCCAGTTTATATGCAATTTTCATTATTCCTATTTTTGGATAACAAGTATTGTTTTATACCACACTCAGATGGGCATACAGTGTGCATGTTAATCGACTCAAATCAAATTCAAAATACATTTTTATGGACGTCCTGGGTATTATTCGGCCCCTGAACATCGCAATGACGGGTTTGCATACACTGCCGTTGCATTCTTTGCGCCGTCTGGATAAAGATACAGAGCAGAGACTGTGCAGCAAGTTGTGTTGACAGAGTTTAGCGATGTAAATCTACACACTGCATCCATGTAGAATCGAGCACGTGCACTTCAGAGCGGTAATAATGTGATTAAGGTGTTATTGCGATTAAAATCGGCGTACGCCATATAGTTTAATGTGAATATGGTTACTACGATTATGAGCATAATCGCATTAGTTTGATCGAAGTATTGCGTTTACATGAGGTAAAGTTTAATCGAAATATTGCCAAAATCCCATTATAATCACATTATGAGGGTGCATGTAAATACACTATTTGTCATTACCATGTCAAACACCCAAAGAGATGTCATGACAGAAATGCGATATTAATTTATATATTAAATAATTAGTATAATACATTAATTTATAATATATAATAATAATAATAATATGAGATCTGAATAATAGGTATACTTTTACTGTGTAAATATAGGCCTGGAGCCACCTGTTCAAATGCAATGAACCCAGCAAAAATATTTAAGGATGAACATCATGCTGAGAGAGAGAATGAGAGAGGTTAAGCCATAATTTATGGATGTATACAGTTTCTTCAGTCAGGAAATTTATGACATGGCATTTGAACTTTTGACTTTTGATTTACACAACTTGTCAGGTTATCAGGGCACAGAGGAAATGGAATTAAAGGAGAAGAATGGATAAAAGGCTGTTTAGTTAAGCCGTGTTCCTTCTCTCGGTCAAAGGTGGGTTATTACGGTGGGCCTGCTGAGCCTTGCTTGTCTTGGCTTACATGTATCATTGGCCTTTCCCTGTGTATATTCTTTTTTCCACTCAAAGAGGTCTCGACTTATTCTTTCAGCTTTTAGAGATAGTACAAGGCTCTGAAAGTAAGTTCAAATCATGCTCTTTGAAAAGCCTGGTAATTGTGTTTTTTAGGTAAACTTATTGGCTAATGACATTCTTAAAATAGGATATTTCATATATTCATATTTTGTCCCTGTTGAGCAGGGACGTGCACAGGGGGGGTTGCTCAGGTTGCCCGGGCAACTGCCCATATGCCCTTCTTGACTCAGGTTGCCCTTCCGGAAAAAAAAAACTTGTACAATGGAATGGATGCATAATTTCACGTAGGCCTAGATAAAAAAATCAAAAAAAAATCGCAAAGCCTCATTCACTTCCATTCGGGCACTCAGCTCAACTGTTTACGTGGCTGCAGGGCTGCACGCGACCATAGACTGCACGAGACCGGTGCGTAAGACCCCGCAAATTACTTAAGGCCCCGCCTCCATCTCGTGTCATAGCGCGTCAAATAATGTGTACAGCATCCATGACAATATGAAGCGAAACTATCCTTCTCGTCACGAAAAGAGGAAGAGAAAAACCATGAGAGTGAATTGCGGGAACAACAATCAGGTAAACTTGTGTTCTCTCCTCTATAAGTTTGATGTCAGCAAAGTTTGATGTTTTTCGGTCTTGCTAACCTAGCTGGGCAGGCAGTGCATCTCTTGCATCACTTTGTGCCTGACAAAAGTGAGAGTAAATTACAATTATTTATCACGATTGTTTTTGATAAACGACAAAGTGCAACGGTGTTTGTTATTTACTGCAGCTCGGAAAACATAACCGCGTCGCGTTATCATACGTTCAAATGCGCGTGCACGAAATGAAACGATACTCGGTTACTAACGTAACCTCGGTTCTCTCTAGAGAGGGAACGAGTATTGCGTAAGTTTAGCTTACGCTACGGGAAAGATTCATCTTCTCGAGATATTGAAGCCAAAAAATTATCCTTAATTTTGTATTCATTGTCAACGCAGTGCAGCAGCTAGCAGACCTAGAGCAGGCCATCTCGCGTGCTTATTGGCTGCCCTGCATGCATCTGCTGCAGCCTACCAGTGAGCCCCGCGTGACGTCACACCCAATAAAGGGCGCTCGCGCCTTCATAGCGTCATAGCCCGCCAGAATGGGCGTGGCTTAGCGTATATAAGAAGGGGCTCGTAGGCTGAATTCCCTGGTTTTTCGACAACTGAAGCGAAGTCGCTCGTGGCGCGAGCACGGCCGGTTACGCAATACTCGTTCCCTCTCTAGAGAGAACCGAGGTTACGTTAGTAACCGAGTATCGTTCTCTTACGAGAGGTTCTCTCGTATTGCGTAAGTTTAGCTTACGCTACGGGAACACTTTGTCAACGCCGTGCGCGCCAAGCATCCACCATGAGGCCCCGAACTTTCAGGGAACCCCTATGAGGTGGAGAATAAGGTGGCCAGCTACGCGGGCCATCACTTGTACATAAGCACACATAGGGAATACAGAGCAGCGCGCCGGTCTGTATAGGCACATGGCTCATACCCCACTTAGTGCAGCTCAACCAGGAGAGCTGGGTCATGTGAGAGTGATCTGAGCAGGAGGTCTGGGCAGAATACACCTCTCCTCTAAACCGACAACAGTTTAGCCTGCAAGGCAGGAACTTCCAGGTTATAAAACCTGACAAAGGTAGACGGGGAGCTCCAGCCCGCCGCCACACATATGTCATGGATAGAAATTCCACTGGACCATGCCCACGAAGAGGCCACGCCTCTCGTGGAATGAGCCCTGATGCCCAGAGGGCATTGCAGACCTTTTGACGCGTAAGCGGCTGCTATAGCGTCCACTATCCATCTGGACAGGCTCTGTTTCGAGGAGGCGAGACCTTTGGTGCGCCCACCGAACGAAACAAACAGCTGTTCCGAACGCCTGAATGAGGCGGAGCGCGTAATGTAAAACCTCAGCGCTCTGACAGGGCAGAGGAGGTTCACATCACTTTCGCTGTCAGATGCTGGGAGCGCTGACAACGAGATGACTTGCGCTCTGAACGGAGTGCCCATCACTTTCGGAACATAACCATGTCTAGGTCTGAGGATGACTTTAGAGTCATTCGGCCCGAACTCAAGACACGACACGCTGACAGACAGCGCATGTAGGTCCCCCACACGCTTTACTGACGACAGTGCAGTCAGAAAGACGGTTTTTAGTGATAGATATTTCAACTCCACAGAATCCAGTGGTTCGAAGGGAAAAGCTTTCAGGGCCTCCAGGACCAGTGAAAGATCCCACATGGGAACCGACGGGGGGCGCGGCGGGTTCATCCTCCTAGCTCCTCTTAGGAAGCGGATGACCAACTCATGTCTTCCCAATGACTGGCCGTGCGTCGATTCTGCGAACGCTGCCACGGCCGCCACATACACTTTGAGCGTGGATGGGGACCTCCCCTTATCCAACAGCTCTTGTAGGAAGGAGAGCAGCTGCGCCACCCCGCATGTCCGCGGGTCCAGACCTCTGTCGGTGCACCATTCCGAGAACACCGACCATTTAGACGCGTAGAGCCTTCTTGTAGAAGGGGCTCTAGACTGCGTGATCGTGTTCATTACTCCTTCTGGCAGGGCAACGAGTACCCGTTGATCAACCATGCGTGCAGAGACCAGCGCTCTGGATGGGGATGCCAGATCGTGCCGCGAGCCTGAGAGAGGAGATCTGCCCTCACCGGAATCGGCCACGGAGCTGTATGTGACAGCCGTGCCAGCTCCGGGAACCAAATCTGATTCTCCCAACGCGGGGCTATGAGGAGCACCGAGTGGCGCGTTTCCCTGATTCTCTTGATTACCTGTGGTAACAGAGAGACCGGGGGAAAAGCATATAGCCGGAGGCTGGGCCAAACCTGGGCCAGCGCGTCCTCGTCCTTCGAGAAGAACGTTGGGCATTGAGCGTTGTCTTTTGACGCAAATAGGTCGACTTCCGCCCTGCCGAACAGGCGCCACAGTTTCTGGACCGTTTGGGGGTGCAGGGACCATTCCCCTGGGGGAACGTTGTCCCTGGACAGTTTGTCTGGGCCGTCGTTCAAATGGCCCGGCACATGCGCCGCCCTCAGCGAGCGCAGGTGCAACTGGGACCAAATAAGGAGGCGCTCCGTCAGATTGCAGAGATTTCTGGATCTGACACCGCCCTGACGGTTTACATAGGATACCACAGACATGTTGTCCGAGCGGACGAGAACATGTTGGTCCTGTATGAACGGGAGGAAGCACTTCAGCGCATTCTCGACCGCTATCATTTCCAGACAGTTTATGTGAAAACACCTCTCTTGGTCTGACCACTGGCCGAAGACCGGTCTGCCCTCGAACAGCGCGCCCCAACCCCAGTTGGACGCGTCTGTCGAAATGACTTTCCGATAAGAGACGGTTCCCATCGTCACTCCCAGCTGGTACCAGTCGGCCACTAACCAGGGCTGCAGAGCCGCTATGCAGGTCTGAGTCACTCTGATTTTCTGACCGCCAGAAACCCAAGCTCGGCGGGACGCGCGAGCATTCAGCCAGCGTTGGAGCGGGCGCATGCGCAGTAGGCCCAGCTGAAGCACCGCTGCAGCTGACGCCATACAGCCCAACATCCTCTGAAAAGTTTTCAAAGGGAGAAAGCTGTCCCTTTGTTGTATAATACATCTGCGATGCTACCATACACCCATTTCTAATGGATGAAGCCTTGGCCTGGGAGAGAGGTCATCAGGTGGTCCTCAACCTTCACTGGGTGTTTCGACCCTTAACCACAACACCCTCCAGCTGGCGGGTCAGCAGTGACTGGCCAGGTCACTGCCCCTCTCTTCCAGGCTTCCAGCTTATGTCCTCTCTCTTGTGCCAGAGCCAACAGGAGGCTCTCTCTGACGCTTCTCCCAGCCTACGAATGGCTGCTTTCCTTAAGTGGCCCCTCAATCCAACCTTTGTTAATAAATTCCATGCAGATTGCGCGGGGAATCCCCGACATCCGACTTCCACCGTCATCAGCCACGCCGTCCACCCTTTGTCCCGGCAGTCTTGAACAAGTTGCTGGTATTTGGCTTTTTTCCTTTCTGCAGCTTCTTCACAGCCCTCCTCCCATGGGACCGTCAACTCCACCAGAATGATCTTCTTTCCCTCTGGAGACCACATGATGATGTCCGGCCTTAGCGTTGTGGACAACACCACCTCTGGGAAGTGGAGTTTCCTCCCCAGATCAACCTCCATTTCCCATCCCTGGGCTGACTGCAGGAGATTCTGCCTGGCTTGGCTGTGGATGACAGGTCTTTGGCCCTCTTTCACAAAGCCGAGGGTGCTCAGCAGTGGTCTTGGTTTGGCTGGTTGTTTCTTCCTCCTTTCTTGCTCCAGAATGTCTGCAAGCACTGCCAACACCTTGTCATGGCGCCACCTGTATCTCCCCTGTGTCAATGCGGTCTTACACCCTGACAGAATGTGCGCCGTTGTTCCTTTCCCGCCACACAACCTGCACAATGGGTCCTCCCTCATCCTCCACCTATGCAAATTGACTGGGGTTGGTAAGGTGTCGTACACTGCTCGGAGTAGAAAGGATATACGGAAGGGTTCCATCCGCCACAATTCACTCCATGTGATTGTCCTCTTGGGGAGGTTCCACCTCGTCCAGGCGCCTTGGGTTGCGAGCTCGATGGATTTTGCTCTTCTCCCTTCTTCCTCAAAGTTTCGGACTTCATCCTGGATCATGGTTCTCTTCTCCCTAGGGGTGGACTTTGACCACTGCTGGAAATGTGCGGTTCCTAGACCCTGTCTTCCAGTGCAAGGGTTTCCGATTATATCTTTGGTCATGAGAGAACATTCTGCCTGGGTAATTGCCGTGCTGGCGGCCCACTTACGGCCAGATCTTGTTCTTACTCCTGCTTCCCTGGTGAGTTGGTCTTGAGAGTCCCTATATGTCAGGGACTGTCTGCATTTGGCGACTTTAAACTCCTCCACCACTGAAGACAGGGGAAGCTGGAGCTGGCCCGACTTTATGTAGAGCCCCAAGGATGTAAAGCTCGGGGGTATTCCCAACCATTTTCTAAGGTGCTTGTTGAACTTCCTCTCCATATTTTCAACAGTTGATAGAAGTACCTCGTATACCGTGAGAAACCACATGAGTCTCGGGAGCAGGCCATGTTGGTAGATCCAGCACTTGTATTTCCCAGGCAGGCCAGACTTGTCAATCTTTTTCAGCCATTCTTCAACCTGCTTTCCTGTGCTGGAGATGCTGTTCCTGTCTGACAGGGAATCATCATACCACTTTCCAAGGCATCTAATTGGGTTCCCCTGGATGTTCGGGATCACTTCCCCTTGAACAAGTAGCTTGAACTTTCCAGTTGTTTTGCCCTTTTGGATCACCAGGCTCCTTGATTTTTTTGGCTTGAAGACCATCTTTGCCCAAGTGGCCATACGATCCAATTCTGCCAGGACCCATCTTGCCTGCACGTGAGTTGGTGTTATCACGGTAAGGTCATCCATGAATGCCCTGATTGCTGGCTGTTGACATCCTGCTGCGGTCTTCGGTCCTCTTGACTTTGTACTCGCTGCAGAGATGATCAGGTTCATTCCCATGATGAACAAGATGGGAGAGATTGTGCATCCTGTCACTATCCCCTTCTCCACTGGCTGCCACTTTGTTGTAAACTTGGCAGACTGGAATCGTAGCTTGATGTCTCTCAGGTAACTGGTGATCATGCCCTGGATGTTATGTGGGATGTGGTAGTAGTCCAAAGCAACTTGGATCAACTTATGGGGAATAGACCCATATGCATTTGCAAAGTCAAGCCAGACAACTGTTAGGCTGCCTTTCTTCTCCTTTGCTTCTTGGATGAGTTGGCTGAGGACCCCTGTATGCTCCAAGCACCCGGAGAACCCTTCAACACCACCCTTCTGGATAGAGGTGTTAATATATCCATTCTGGGTCATGTAAGCGCTCATTCTCTTCGCAAGCACAGCAAAGAAAATTTTTCCCTCCACACTAAGTAGGGAGATAGTTCGGAACTGGCTGATCTGTGTGGATCCCTGTTCTTTGGGCACAAAGCACCCTTCTGCCCTTCTCCAGCTTGTTGGAATGGTTCCCTTGGACCAAATTACCCGCATAAGCTTCCATAACCTTCGGAGGAGCTTGGGGCATTTTTTGTATACTTTGTACGGTATACCGCTGGGACCTGGAGCAGAAGATGATCTTGCGTGCTTGACTACCTCTTGAACCTCTCTCCATGATGGACACTCTGTGCTGAGGGATATAGTAGGTGGGTCGATGTTAATAAGCCCATGATTTCCTTCCAGGGCATCGTCTCTTGTAGGGTCACTGAACACCTCCTCAACAGACTGCTCCACCACCTCCTTGGAACTTGTTAGAGTCCCAGACCTCGCCTCTCCCAGAAGTGATTTGGTGAAGCGGTAAGGGTCCTTTATAAACTGGGCTCGAGCAGCTTCCTGCTTCTTCCGCCTCTGCTTGAACCTCTCAGCTCTTCTTGTTCTTATGAGCTGCTCACGGAGGCTGGATGTAAGCTCTTTTATTCCTTCCTTTTCTCCTGTGCTTGCCAGTTTGAATTGTTTCCTCAGGGTTTTGATCTCCTTCCTAAGTTGTTTGATCTTTCTTTCTCTTCTGTTTTCCTGCTTTTCTGGTCTTGCTTTATTCTCTCTCCTTGGCACTGTTCCAAACCGTTCCTTTGCCAAATTGTAGGTGATGGCTGTCAGTAAATCCACCTTCCTTTCCGCTGATCCTGCTTGAACTGCTCCGAGCACTCTGTCTAGATCTTCATCTAACATGGACCACCCCTTCCCTTCACTCATTTTGGGCCACTTAATTCTTTCCTTTGTTGGCTGGGGTGGGCTTTCTGGAATGGCGTTTGAGGCTCTCCTTATGCGATCTTGGTGGATTGCCGGCACTGAGAGATCACTAGGACTATGGTGTGCTTCCTGCCTAGGGTTCTCCTGCGTCTCACCAGACGGTTCGTCTGAGCGGTGTGCATGCATCCGACCTTGTCCACACGTGGACTTGCTCTGGTGTATTTTGAGCCCTCTTACGCCTTTGCAGATTCTTCCGCAGCTGCATTTAACTTCCGGTGCCTCCCCGGTCAAGGTGGTTTGTCTAAGCCTTCTCTGCGTCTGTGTCACTGTCCGTGTCGTTAGCCTGAAATCTGTCCTGGTGAGTCTCTCATCCTCCCCCCCTCTCGGGAGACTCTGGGGGTATTGCTCGTTTGTTAATTCTGTAGCTTGCTTGGTGCCCTCTTGCGAGTGCTGCAACAGGGGTTGCTGGCCCCTGTTACCCCGCCAGTCTTTCCTGGAGGTCAGCTGTCTCTCCAGCGTCACCGACCTTCCTCGGTTGCCATCCAGACTTTCCTGGAAGTCACTGGTTGCCCAGGGAGTTCAGTTGTATAATACATCTGCGATGCTACCATACACCCATTTCTAATGGATGAAGCCTTGGCCTGGGAGAGAGGTCATCAGGTGGTCCTCAACCTTCACTGGGTGTTTCGACCCTTAACCACAACACCCTCCAGCTGGCGGGTCAGCAGTGACTGGCCAGGTCACTGCCCCTCTCTTCCAGGCTTCCAGCTTATGTCCTCTCTCTTGTGCCAGAGCCAACAGGAGGCTCTCTCTGACGCTTCTCCCAGCCTACGAATGGCTGCTTTCCTTAAGTGGCCCCTCAATCCAACCTTTGTTAATAAATTCCATGCAGATTGCGCGGGGAATCCCCGACATCCGACTTCCACCGTCATCAGCCACGCCGTCCACCCTTTGTCCCGGCAGTCTTGAACAAGTTGCTGGTATTTGGCTTTTTTCCTTTCTGCAGCTTCTTCACAGCCCTCCTCCCATGGGACCGTCAACTCCACCAGAATGATCTTCTTTCCCTCTGGAGACCACATGATGATGTCCGGCCTTAGCGTTGTGGACAACACCACCTCTGGGAAGTGGAGTTTCCTCCCCAGATCAACCTCCATTTCCCATCCCTGGGCTGACTGCAGGAGATTCTGCCTGGCTTGGCTGTGGATGACAGGTCTTTGGCCCTCTTTCACAAAGCCGAGGGTGCTCAGCAGTGGTCTTGGTTTGGCTGGTTGTTTCTTCCTCCTTTCTTGCTCCAGAATGTCTGCAAGCACTGCCAACACCTTGTCATGGCGCCACCTGTATCTCCCCTGTGTCAATGCGGTCTTACACCCTGACAGAATGTGCGCCGTTGTTCCTTTCCCGCCACACAACCTGCACAATGGGTCCTCCCTCATCCTCCACCTATGCAAATTGACTGGGGTTGGTAAGGTGTCGTACACTGCTCGGAGTAGAAAGGATATACGGAAGGGCTCCATCCGCCACAATTCACTCCATGTGATTGTCCTCTTGGGGAGGTTCCACCTCGTCCAGGCGCCTTGGGTTGCGAGCTCGATGGATTTTGCTCTTCTCCCTTCTTCCTCAAAGTTTCGGACTTCATCCTGGATCATGGTTCTCTTCTCCCTAGGGGTGGACTTTGACCACTGCTGGAAATGTGCGGTTCCTAGACCCTGTCTTCCAGTGCAAGGGTTTCCGATTATATCTTTGGTCATGAGAGAACATTCTGCCTGGGTAATTGCCGTGCTGGCGGCCCACTTACGGCCAGATCTTGTTCTTACTCCTGCTTCCCTGGTGAGTTGGTCTTGAGAGTCCCTATATGTCAGGGACTGTCTGCATTTGGCGACTTTAAACTCCTCCACCACTGAAGACAGGGGAAGCTGGAGCTGGCCCGACTTTATGTAGAGCCCCAAGGATGTAAAGCTCGGGGGTATTCCCAACCATTTTCTAAGGTGCTTGTTGAACTTCCTCTCCATATTTTCAACAGTTGATAGAAGTACCTCGTATACCGTGAGAAACCACATGAGTCTCGGGAGCAGGCCATGTTGGTAGATCCAGCACTTGTATTTCCCAGGCAGGCCAGACTTGTCAATCTTTTTCAGCCATTCTTCAACCTGCTTTCCTGTGCTGGAGATGCTGTTCCTGTCTGACAGGGAATCATCATACCACTTTCCAAGGCATCTAATTGGGTTCCCCTGGATGTTCGGGATCACTTCCCCTTGAACAAGTAGCTTGAACTTTCCAGTTGTTTTGCCCTTTTGGATCACCAGGCTCCTTGATTTTTTTGGCTTGAAGACCATCTTTGCCCAAGTGGCCATACGATCCAATTCTGCCAGGACCCATCTTGCCTGCACGTGAGTTGGTGTTATCACGGTAAGGTCATCCATGAATGCCCTGATTGCTGGCTGTTGACATCCTGCTGCGGTCTTCGGTCCTCTTGACTTTGTACTCGCTGCAGAGATGATCAGGTTCATTCCCATGATGAACAAGATGGGAGAGATTGTGCATCCTGTCACTATCCCCTTCTCCACTGGCTGCCACTTTGTTGTAAACTTGGCAGACTGGAATCGTAGCTTGATGTCTCTCAGGTAACTGGTGATCATGCCCTGGATGTTATGTGGGATGTGGTAGTAGTCCAAAGCAACTTGGATCAACTTATGGGGAATAGACCCATATGCATTTGCAAAGTCAAGCCAGACAACTGTTAGGCTGCCTTTCTTCTCCTTTGCTTCTTGGATGAGTTGGCTGAGGACCCCTGTATGCTCCAAGCACCCGGAGAACCCTTCAACACCACCCTTCTGGATAGAGGTGTTAATATATCCATTCTGGGTCATGTAAGCGCTCATTCTCTTCGCAAGCACAGCAAAGAAAATTTTTCCCTCCACACTAAGTAGGGAGATAGTTCGGAACTGGCTGATCTGTGTGGATCCCTGTTCTTTGGGCACAAAGCACCCTTCTGCCCTTCTCCAGCTTGTTGGAATGGTTCCCTTGGACCAAATTACCCGCATAAGCTTCCATAACCTTCGGAGGAGCTTGGGGCATTTTTTGTATACTTTGTACGGTATACCGCTGGGACCTGGAGCAGAAGATGATCTTGCGTGCTTGACTACCTCTTGAACCTCTCTCCATGATGGACACTCTGTGCTGAGGGATATAGTAGGTGGGTCGATGTTAATAAGCCCATGATTTCCTTCCAGGGCATCGTCTCTTGTAGGGTCACTGAACACCTCCTCAACAGACTGCTCCACCACCTCCTTGGAACTTGTTAGAGTCCCAGACCTCGCCTCTCCCAGAAGTGATTTGGTGAAGCGGTAAGGGTCCTTTATAAACTGGGCTCGAGCAGCTTCCTGCTTCTTCCGCCTCTGCTTGAACCTCTCAGCTCTTCTTGTTCTTATGAGCTGCTCACGGAGGCTGGATGTAAGCTCTTTTATTCCTTCCTTTTCTCCTGTGCTTGCCAGTTTGAATTGTTTCCTCAGGGTTTTGATCTCCTTCCTAAGTTGTTTGATCTTTCTTTCTCTTCTGTTTTCCTGCTTTTCTGGTCTTGCTTTATTCTCTCTCCTTGGCACTGTTCCAAACCGTTCCTTTGCCAAATTGTAGGTGATGGCTGTCAGTAAATCCACCTTCCTTTCCGCTGATCCTGCTTGAACTGCTCCGAGCACTCTGTCTAGATCTTCATCTAACATGGACCACCCCTTCCCTTCACTCATTTTGGGCCACTTAATTCTTTCCTTTGTTGGCTGGGGTGGGCTTTCTGGAATGGCGTTTGAGGCTCTCCTTATGCGATCTTGGTGGATTGCCGGCACTGAGAGATCACTAGGACTATGGTGTGCTTCCTGCCTAGGGTTCTCCTGCGTCTCACCAGACGGTTCGTCTGAGCGGTGTGCATGCATCCGACCTTGTCCACACGTGGACTTGCTCTGGTGTATTTTGAGCCCTCTTACGCCTTTGCAGATTCTTCCGCAGCTGCATTTAACTTCCGGTGCCTCCCCGGTCAAGGTGGTTTGTCTAAGCCTTCTCTGCGTCTGTGTCACTGTCCGTGTCGTTAGCCTGAAATCTGTCCTGGTGAGTCTCTCATCCTCCCCCCCTCTCGGGAGACTCTGGGGGTATTGCTCGTTTGTTAATTCTGTAGCTTGCTTGGTGCCCTCTTGCGAGTGCTGCAACAGGGGTTGCTGGCCCCTGTTACCCCGCCAGTCTTTCCTGGAGGTCAGCTGTCTCTCCAGCGTCACCGACCTTCCTCGGTTGCCATCCAGACTTTCCTGGAAGTCACTGGTTGCCCAGGGAGTTCAGTTGTATAATACATCTGCGATGCTACCATACACCCATTTCTAATGGATGAAGCCTTGGCCTGGGAGAGAGGTCATCAGGTGGTCCTCAACCTTCACTGGGTGTTTCGACCCTTAACCACAACACCCTCCAGCTGGCGGGTCAGCAGTGACTGGCCAGGTCACTGCCCCTCTCTTCCAGGCTTCCAGCTTATGTCCTCTCTCTTGTGCCAGAGCCAACAGGAGGCTCTCTCTGACGCTTCTCCCAGCCTACGAATGGCTGCTTTCCTTAAGTGGCCCCTCAATCCAACCTTTGTTAATAAATTCCATGCAGATTGCGCGGGGAATCCCCGACATCCGACTTCCACCGTCATCAGCCACGCCGTCCACCCTTTGTCCCGGCAGTCTTGAACAAGTTGCTGGTATTTGGCTTTTTTCCTTTCTGCAGCTTCTTCACAGCCCTCCTCCCATGGGACCGTCAACTCCACCAGAATGATCTTCTTTCCCTCTGGAGACCACATGATGATGTCCGGCCTTAGCGTTGTGGACAACACCACCTCTGGGAAGTGGAGTTTCCTCCCCAGATCAACCTCCATTTCCCATCCCTGGGCTGACTGCAGGAGATTCTGCCTGGCTTGGCTGTGGATGACAGGTCTTTGGCCCTCTTTCACAAAGCCGAGGGTGCTCAGCAGTGGTCTTGGTTTGGCTGGTTGTTTCTTCCTCCTTTCTTGCTCCAGAATGTCTGCAAGCACTGCCAACACCTTGTCATGGCGCCACCTGTATCTCCCCTGTGTCAATGCGGTCTTACACCCTGACAGAATGTGCGCCGTTGTTCCTTTCCCGCCACACAACCTGCACAATGGGTCCTCCCTCATCCTCCACCTATGCAAA